CTGACTAGGGAAAGCTCGAGGGAAGAGTTGCGCAGCCGTGACTGGATTCATCGTCTGCGTTCTCTATAAATTAGAATCAGAATCAGAATAGTGTTCAGTACTATTTACCGTAGATACTATGCAATAGCACTAGTTACTACGAATGCGTTCAAACGCTTCCTTTCATGGCCTACCTTCATGCTGAAAATGTTCTTTTGCAAAGGAAGCTCGTCCATCAGGGGTGGCAGTTCGGGAGAACGGGCAACGAGTGAGCCACCGCGCGCGGCGCCCTTTCAAGACGAGTTAGCATGCAGCTATGAACCACCAGCTTGATATGCTCATTCAACGAGACAAACAAAAAGACTTCAAAGTGGCCTTATCATTCCAAAAAAATACCAGACAGAAGAAACTATTAGAGATACCTTCAAGGTTCCGTCGGTTATTTTCGAAAGGATTCATTTTGATCGACAATGCTGCAGGTAGTGAACTTTGTTATCTTTACTTGTTCAAATAGAAGTCAAAAATGTGAAATTGTCGAGCGCAGGGCACGTCATTATTGCCCGTCTGAATGTAAACTAACAGAAGAATAGACATTACATTGGATGATCCAGCACTTGAGTGGAAACATGTGGAGGCGTCTTTGTTCTGGATGCCATCTGTGCAATCATTTCTGTTCAGCAGTTTTTCATACTCGTTTCTCCCATCATTCAGCAAATATTCCAGGAAAAAAGTTGCGCACATGTGGTTGAGTAGCATGTGCCGAGAAGGCCCGCTTTTCTGAATCGTCCAGCAGCCAGGCTTTTGGATTGACTATTGCGTGCAGCAGGAATGATTGAAAAACATCTCACAACTTTCTGTACAGAACGGTGCCATGCAATACAGTACTCGCTCTAGTAGTGTACAATGAAAATATGATGTTACGCAAACCGAGTCATTGGTTGAGTCCGACTTTTCCCTTTGGGTAAATTGATGAGACAGCCGCTCCCTAATGGGAGCTGGTCCACAGGTAAGCCCAGGAGAGCAGAAGAAGGCTCGAATGGTCGAACTATAGTGGAATTTCCTCTTCAAACGTGAGCCCATAGCTGTATGTTTACAAAATAAAATTGTCAACCGGTGTTGATGGGAGAGTAATAAGGAGTATATAACCACTCGAATAAACGTACACATCTTTGATGACATATATTTACAATTGCACACTTTAGAACGAGTTTCTGCGGAGAGATGGAGCAGTGGCAAATGGCGCCATCACACACAGACATTATCGAAGAATTGAACCACTGGTGTGGTTCTGCGCCAACGAACCAGGCATTCCATCTAAATGGAGCGTTGCTTGGTTACGCGCTGGTATCCACATGTCTGCTTCCATGAGCCTTAGTATAAACAAAATATGCCTCCAAATGTTTCTAAAACGGTAATTGTGGCCGAATTCGTGGCTTATTCCACTAGGCGAAATTTCATTGTCAAAAGCTTGATTTGAGGATGCACAAGACTGAAATATGGGCAACTGATGGAATTCAATTGTATATAGAAAAAATGTTGGCGACTGAACCTCGAGTGAAATCCATACCTGATCGTCTGGAGATTTACTGATCAATAAGCACTATAGGGTTACAGCAGGGTTACGGTAAGCCGAGTCTTATTGATTCTTTTTCAAGAAACTCACTAGAACCTCCTCTTTCTTAGCACATACATAATCGAAACAAAAAAAAGCGAAAGTTCCCACAACGTAACATGTTAGACACGTTAAGACATGGTTAACATGTCAAAATTATGTCAAGTGCTTTCTCCAAGTTCTAATGGCCAATCTGCCCATTCCTACGATCTTCCATGCTCCTGTTCATTGCATGTTTACTTGTTTACTTGTATGATTACCGAGTTGTTTGTGAAAATATCAATTAGCATGTTTTCATTTACCTGATCACCCACTTACAGGTAGTTCTCAAGAACAAATCGTAGACCCTTGTATTTAAAACCCCATTAGTATTGTCAAGAATTGTTCTGCAGTGGACAAGACAGATTTTGCAGTGGGAGAGAATTCGGGATACAGTAATCCTGACTGCATGGGTATAGTGTCTCTTCACCCCATATCCTGGGTCCTCGCCTAAAACCCGTTTTCATTGCGTCGTATTTGTGATGGGTTTCTTGGTCGTCTAGCGTCTCCTCTATTTCACTGTGTGTAACTAATGTATCGGGGAGGCGGTCGTTCCTCGTGATCCCTCCCTTCGCGCCGCCCATTCGGCGCAGTTTGCGAGCTGGGCAATTCGTCCAGGCGATTGAACCTTCTCATCATGCTAATCGATGCAAATAGACAAAATACTTGCAGATCCGCAATTTGGCGTCTAATACTACCTGCGTCATCGATCGGGGTTCTATCATCTGGAGGCAGTGGGTTGCCCCGTCATCTGGACGAGTTGTCCAGCTCGCAAACCGCGTCGAATGGGCGGCGCGATGTGAGGTATCGCGCCAAACGACATACA